TTTTTTTTTGAGTCCCTATGATTTAAGATGAATAAAAAGCGTCGCCTATCTATGTATCCGGCCATCAATCCATCTATCCATCTGCATGTGTGCACCTGTAGTCGTTCTCTGACATCTGTGGCCCAATTTCATGGCGCTATTTCACCGGTGTTACATATCCTTTTCAACTACATCCTATTTAGTCACATTCAGTACACATATTAGACATTCATGGCAGGTGTTTCAATTTCCGTGTTTGTTTATCTATTTCACAGATTGTTCTGATTTTATAGCATTGCGTATATAAACCAAATCTACCAATATGGCTGGAATTAAAAAGTATTGCATGTGGCAAGATCTAGACAAGTATAAGGACATTGATGAAGATGAGATATTAGCAAAGTTGACTCCAGAAGAATTGGAACAATTATCAGCTGAGTTTGATCCTGATGTAAGAGTTTTTCCTTTCTATATTGTATTTTGTTTTATCATAATTGTAATGTGAATACATTTGGTAATAAGGAAACAGTTGAACAACGCCCCCATATGGCAGAAGTCGGATACCTTCAAATTATGCAGTTCCATCTATGACCAAGTAAGGCCTAAAAAAAAAAAATATTTTGGTCAATTTCACCCAAAATTAATGTGGTATTTTTTTATTTTTTTTTGTGGGGATAAATAAGGATAGCTCCAACCACTAATAAATATGACAACAGTGTCTATTTACTGATTTCAATGGAAAATTGCAGTTTCATGTCAGTGACCTCAATATATTACCTTTCAGAACAGCTGTCATTTGTTTTTTTGGCTTTTATGAATTAAAATTCAAATAGAGTTGACTCAATGTGATTTTGCTGACCCACACTATCCCCAGGAATCCCAGTTATTTTTTTGGCTACATTTTTTTTATCACTCCATCATGATGTTTTGCCTGGGTTCAGTATAGGCTTCTTTGTATTTTATGAGATATGTATCCCTTTATGCAGGATTTCTCTGTGTGAAAAATTTCTACTAGTTGATCTAATGCTGCACAGGTTTTCTAAATTAATGGTTTTGTGAAGGAAACCATTCATACCTGTGTTGAACTCTAGTATCAATGAAAACATGCATATAATTTCAAAACTTGCAAAAGGTGCATGTTGTGTTATTCTGCACATTTTGATGGATTTTTCTTCAATTTCTTGGTTAATTTTCAAAGAAATGGAAATACTGTTTTTTTTTCTCTAAATTTCTTGATCAACATTTAAAAAAAAAATGATGCAGGTTCATTTTTGTGAAAAGAGACAAAGTTGGTGGTTTTTGGAAACAAGAGCACAGTAATTTTGGATCATTGCTCAAAAATAAAAACTATATTACCGGTACTTGAAATTTTATCAATGAATGATGAAGAATGCATTTTGTTACCATGGTGATACAACTTCTACTACTTCTTCTTTCAGAATGTGTTGCTACCTCCACGCGACCGACAGAAAGACCAGACTACGAAGGATCCCACTGGTCCGTATGATAGAAAACATTTGATGGATTTTCTTGAGAAGAAAGCCAAGCAAGAGGAAGATGTGGAGGAAAGAGTGCCTTATGAATCTGGCAAGAAACGAGGTGAGTTGACCCTTACATCTTTTAATTTTATAGAAATGATGGTGAAGGAAATCTTCTGTTTCATGTGTCCCCTAAACTTTATCTATCACCAGTTCAACTTTTATTACATCACAATGAAAATATTCACAAATTATAATGAAGCAAGAACTGTGATTAATTTCATTTCAATATTTGGATGAAGTCATGGTATCTTCTAAATCGTATCCAGATTCATCCTTTAAGACAAATTGACAAAAAAACTAAATTGTCCTAGAATAACTTAACACTAGGAAGTTAGGGAGTCACAAGTCCCCATAACATCATAAGCATGAAACTCTTGTGATGTTCCAGAATTGGCATCATTGACATCTCACAGCTGTATGTTAGGCTTTCTATAACCTGGTTAGAGGTGTCTATGATCCCAAAGCGCTGTAAATCCACTAAATACATATACTCCATAGATATGTCATCATTTCTTAAAGTATTTGGCATTTGTTCATTATTTCTTCATGTGAAACTGAATTTGATTTGTTTTTCATGCTCGTTATCTCCCGAGCTGAGTATACTGGTAGTTGAAAACAACTTTATATGGAAAGTAATATGATCAGTGTTGTCAACATTGACATAAATAACACAAATTATGTTGACATTGATGATGTGGTGTAATAAAAGCATAGTTTTCTCTGTAATACTTTCCTAATTATCAGAATGATGTCTGCTATACTGTATATTAGTGACTGGGGTCATAGTATGCAACCCCAGATGTAGTTTTTTACATCTTCATACATCCACCAATTCTCTCTTTCTGAATGCTACCACTTGTGTCACTTGTATGACTACTTTTCCAATCTGTCAATCAGACTGTCCTGCCTATTCTCAATACTTCAAGAAAAATATAATTATTGCGAGAATATTGGCAAGTATGCAAAAAAACTGTACAACAAGAATATCAACCAGCTATAAACATATTCTTGAAAGAACACTCTTGACGACAAGAGTAATTAAGAGTTTTGCGTTGATTACCGGTACATTAAATAAACTATTTAAAAATGTATGTACATATATTTTTGTTGTGGACAGCCAGGCATTTTCTTCGCCTGACGACCATTGTGAAAACAAAAGCCGAAAACTTTCAGAAAACTGTACTTTGGACTAGTTGTTGACGCTCCTGAACAAGATGCGCAACATATATAAATTTGGTTACTCAAAAATACTTCAAAGTTGAGTTTTTACTGTTTCTTCAGCTTTATCTGTTTTCACCGGCTCTTTCCCACAGCAGCTCACACAGAGCCCATAGAAATACATGGTACAGTGGTGCCTGTTTTAATAATATGGAACGTTCTGTGATGTAGCTCTCCCCTTGAGAATAGCAATATTTCATGTACATCTATCTTTTTATTGTCAGAAAACACTGGAGATTTTTTAATAGTCTTTGCGGAAACTCAGATTACAGCTCTCAGTTTAATCATGGAGCAAGAAAGGGCAAAATAAATTCAAAAAAACAATATGTCATTAATGGACTAGTGTTTGCATTCAGATTACACAAGACACTAGGTACAAGTGTGTGGTTTTGGCAAATGTATTCAATGTTATGAACTATTGAAATTTGATATCAACATCCTAATGATTGCTTTGTTACCATTAGTTATTTACAAAGTAGGAATTAAACATGTAACAAGTTGAAAGAGTCTTCAGAGCAATCCAGTCAGAGTTACTGCAATGACTATAAATGCATTCCTCCTTTGTATTATATGCAGGACACCTACCACTGTGATTTTGATCACCATGACAAAATGATAAAATCAGTTGGTATGGCAACATATCCTGAAATATTGGAAAATTGAAGCTAGATTTGTACTTGACATTATTTTCTTTTGTTGGATAAGATTTCATATGAACTGAACAAAATCCAAAATCCAAAGTCTTACAATAGACTGTAATAGGTTTTCTTGAGATCATACAATGTGGGAATGTACCTTGAATGGAATAGATCAGCTTGACATTTTCTGTAACTATACTTAGGTATATACATGGTTTATCACTGCCTGTCAACTTACTTTAATATTTTTATCTAGTATTGATATGTCATTGTTAAATTGATTAAGTTGCCACCTGAATATTAGGGAATGAACTACTGGAAGAATTACTCATAGCTTTGAGTAAACACATGTTTACTATACTTGGAATCTTTTGTCTGATTTGTTATCAACACACATTGAGCAAGTAGGTTTATGTGGAAATTAATGCTGTAAACTTGTTAATTATTCACTGGGCTTTAATTTTGCTCTGATCGCTGATAGCAAAATCTGCTGAATTAAATGAGATTATAAACAAACTGATTGTTTCACTGCAAAATTAAATGAAAACGGAATCATGAAATTAATTACTAGTGAATTAATACTTTTACAGCATTCAATATTATTTTGTGTTTGTTTGTATTTAAGTGTGTGTTATTGTCCACTTTATTGACCAATTGATTCACTCTTTGGGGAAATATTGTAAATGTGACTGATCAATGTTGTATCTTTTCTAATCTTCCTGACTTTTACTTTTTCATTTCTAGTCTAGAAAGACGTTTTCTATGTTTGTATTGTCATATTTAGTTTACCATTATTTTAATGAACAGCGTTGCTATTGCAATTTAAATACTACTAAATATCAAGCTAAATGTTTTAACATCAGTGTACACAAAGATGGTTTTCACTTGATCAACACTCTTGCAGTGATGATGCTTTATTCATATTTATTGTGAAAACCAGTGTACTTTTCCTTAAAAGAAAAGAAATAGTCTAATAATCAGTGAAATTAATGTAATGGCAACACAGTTTGAAATTCTGTTTTGTTTATTTGTGAATAATAATAATGATGTCAAGTTTTGTTTATCCTAACATAGCAGCATTTATGTACTTGCATATCAATGGTAAGGATTACATACTACACTCGTACATTCCCATAACATAGCAGCATGTATGTACTTACATATCAATGGTAAGGATTACATACTACACTCATACATTCCCCTAACATAGCAGCATGTATGTACTTGCATATCAATGGTAAGGAATACATACTGCACTCGTACATTCCCCTAACATAGCAGCATGTATGTACTTACATATCAATGGTAAGGATTACATACTGCACTCGTACATTCCCCTAACATAGCAGCATGTATGTACTTGCATATCAATGGCAAGGATTACATACTACACTCGTACATTCCCCTAACATAGCAGCATGTATGTACTTACATATCAATGGTAAGGATTACATACTACACTCATACATTCCCCTAACATAGCAGTATTTATGTACTTACATATCAATGGTAAGGATTACATACTACACTCATACATTCCCCTAACATAGCAGCATTTATGTACTTACATATCAATGGTAAGGATTACATACTACACTCACACATTCCCCTAACATAGCAGCATGTATGTACTTACCGGTACATATCAATGGTAAGGATTACATACTACACTCTACATTCCCCTAACATAGCAGCATTTATGTACTTACATATCAATGGTAAGGAATACATACTGCACTCTACATTCCCCTAACATAGCAGCATTTATGTACTTACATATCAATGGTAAGGAATACATACTGCACTCGTACATTCCCCTAACATAGCAGTATTTATGTACTTACATATCAATGGTAGTTGTTCATTATTGAACATAGAGATTCTGAATGGGCATTGTGTGGCCCATGTTTTATAGTAAGAATACCATTTGATTTGTGTTATTCTTGTATATTGCATAAGTAGATTCTATTTGACACTAAATTTTGTAATATATTACATTCTCTACTGTACTGCAATAAAAATATATACTTCACCACACAGAATTTATTCTTCTTATTTTCTACATTTAATTGAGATTTTAGTATTATGTGATTATGACTTGTACCAAGATTGCTCTAATTCATGTGATGAGAATTTTTTAAGTAATAACCTATTTATCATTCATATTTCTACATATTTGGCAATGAAAATATCCATTATCAGCTAATGAGGTTTGTGAAATGAATTGCTGGATGAAGAAAACAATTTTAATTTTCTTTTTTGAAGTTGTCTGTTAATTTATTTGAAAGTCACTAACATGTGTTCATGGTAAAACAAGCCATTAACCAAAATCGGCACTTATGGCGTTAACAAAATATGTGTGCCAGAACCTTTCTAATTTATTTTTTATTATCTGGACAACCTAAAATTCTGTTGAAAGCTCTTTTGACTTAGGAAAAGTGCAAAATATTGCATTTGCAACAGATGTTAAAAGTTGTCAAATGAATTTCAAGGAAGGGGCCTAAAGGCAAGAAAACGTAAATGGTGAGTGTTCATGTAAACCTCTCATACTGGAAATGCATCACATCGCATTTTGAGGGCAACATGTGCTTTCAAGTCAATGGACTTGATGACCTGAGATACTGAAAATTCAATCACAACCACACCTATGAAAATGTGCAATGGTTTTCACCTATTTGCAAAATATTCTGGTATAATTGTTGCATTTGGTAGATGGCATATAATATTTTATATGTCAAAGGCTATTAAAATATATATGACATCTGATAACTGACAACTTTAAAACTTTCTATCACAATACTACTTAGAAAGTTCACAAATACGTGTTGCTTGGACATCAATTGGGGCTTGGATATTCCTTCATAATCAACAAAATGGCTGGATAAATGTAGATACAAAATTACAAAATAACTTTACAAATACCATTATGAAATGTACATGTAATTAGCACTATCATTGAATGTCCTACTTTTGCCAAATGATTTCTGTTTGACTACTCAGACTTAATTGCATGTATGCATGCAATGTCAGGATAATGCAAAATACGTGCACACCAGCTATAAAAACAGTAATTAATCATGTTTTAAAATAGTCTATCTATAATTTGCATAGTTATAAAATTAAGTAGTTCAGGTCACATGGAGATAAAAATATTGGATCATATCCTGTCTGTATGAACAATGTTTCAGTGTAAATATGTGAC